CAAGACTTTTTCTTTCTAAAATATGTGAGTGAAAAACCACAATCCATACTTTTAAAAAAATGATTGTAGAACAAATACTTTTACCAGTCTGAAACCTACCTAGTCCTTTCATTTGCAAGGATGCATTTTTTTTTGTTTAATTTATTAACTTAAAGTGTGGTAGTTGTAAATGCAATATTTCAAAGCGCTTGTTTGTGGCACATTTTTAAAAAAAGAGTATTTAATTTGGTCCAACCACCCCCCCCTCCTCCAAATCTGTATTTTAACAGGATAAAACATTGTTTTGACAGTAAATTACACTTTTATTCGAATCGTCGTCACCTCGTTCGGTCCGTACACCCCCCCCCCCCCCTTGACCCTACTATGTAAGAAAGAAGTCTAATTATCTCCTAATTATCACTTTAATTTACTTTGTGCCATTTTCAATTTCTTCTTTTCTTCTTTAATGTACTTCTTTAATTTATACTTTTATCTTTTAAAGTTGACTAAACTTCCAATTTAAAAACAAAAACAGTCATCTCAGAAGGAGCGTTGTTGTGAAAACAGCTGATTGCAGGTTAGAATGTCTGATTTGAGGTATCTCATTCTATTCACATGCCATCTCTGCTACTGGGAATATTATTTTCTTTTAAACCTAAATTTACATCAGCTCTAAGCTGTAAACACATCATCTTTTCCCGTTCTGGCCCATGGGGGCAGATGAAGTAGAGTTCATCTGTTTCAGTGACCTTGGCATATGAAGGGATAGCGTGGTCAGAACTTTGCTCTCACTAACGTGAGATAGGTACCCATCAGAGCTGGGTGGACTCACGGACGTTCTGCAGAATGAATTCAAACTCGAGACTTCGCATTAGCAGTCTAGCGCTCTACCGCTAGGCCACGTCGTCCCATCTGAACTAGTCCGAAAATGACTAAGATGTATAAACAGTGGATTTAAGATGTAAAATCGGTACTTTTTTCCTTAACCCTTGTCTATATTACCTGTATGTTTAAGTTTAATGCCTATTATTTTTTTGTTCTATTTTGTAACCTACTTATTTATTTGTCATGCTTTCTTATACATGTAAACATACTTGTACAGTTTGGACTGCCTGTAAACATACTTGTACAACTTAGACTACTTGTTAATATAGTAGTACGATACGCGACACCAGTTGATCGTGTGGAAAAATAGAACACATCACCTAGATTACTCCCCTGGGTATGTTTCAGATCGTTTTTATGTGCAAACGATATTCACCTCCCTCACTCACAAATACATCACGGTCAAGATACGCAAATATGAAAAAAAATAATTAATGTCAATTATAGTAACAACTGATTACCTCCCATTTACAAGAATTATTTAAATGAAATTGAATAAAGGGAGATACTTATAAAATATTTTCTGGAGCAAATAAAAGTGTAAATAAAAATATTATATCAAACATTACCTACAGTTTTTACTATAAAAACTGTTACATAAAATATTGTTCAAACATATTGAATCCTAATAAAAAAAATTCTTATATTACATTGAAAACAAACTTTATATTTTTAATGGTACACTTTAAATTTACAACTATTCTTTTCGTATTTATAATACACCACACTTAATTGTGTTACTATGTACACAAAAACGGTAATTACAGTAGTTTTTAAAAAGTTTCCAGATCAGATCAAAATACCAAACCCCCCACCCCCAGATCATTCTCAATAATTATTCTATAGACCAGGGGTCGGCAACCTTTTGAAGCAGAAGAGCCAAAAGTTACAATTTTCAAAACTTCCCTCGTTTTAAAGAGCCACTAACATTTTTTTTATTTCAAATATTTTATTTTTTTATTAAGATTAGTATTTGTTCAAGGAGCTGGAGAGCCGCATCTTGATATCAAAAGAGCCGCATGCGGCTCGCGAGCCGCAGGTTGCCGACCCCTGCTATAGACGATCTGCATTATCTCCCCAGCATGTATTCACCCCCCCCCCCCTTCCCCCCTCCCCCCCCCCCTCGTTTACCCCAATTTAAGCAACCATAAACCTTAAGATATCAGAAAATGGATGTGTTAAAATTTAGATGTGTTAAAATGTGCGTTGTTCTAAACTTAAGATGTGTTAAAATATGAGTTGTTTTAAAATTAAGATGTATCATAAGGATAATTTAATTAAAATGCAACCTACTCCTACTGCCTAAACCCCTGGCTGGAAGGGGAAAGCAGTAATAGAAGGGGGGAAAAACTATGTTTACAATTTATGATCATGTCTTTGAAACTGCTTGAAACTACAAAATACATTTTGAATTTATTATTATTTATGATTAAATTTGAAAATAAATTTATTTATAAAAATGTGGGAAGAATGTTTGATTTGATGTGTTTCATTGTACTCTGCGTGTCATCCAGTGCTTATGATATTTATAAGATTATTTTTTCTTTACTCCCAAATTTAGTTCAGATCTAGTCATGAGCCCATATCATACCCTCTCAACCCACCCCACCAAAAAAAAAAAAAATTCTATTCAACAGAGCACTGAATCACCATTTAATTACACATTTGCATTTTCAGGTTTTAAAATATAATTGTAATTAGACTTTTTGTATTATGTATAAGTTAATCAGTTAAATGAATGAAAGTACCTTTTAGAAAGAAGTATAACTATTGCAAATGAGTATCAGTCCTCACAAGCCGATGATGAAAACTGGAATACTAAAGCAAAAATGGCAAGGCAAACTGACACTGTAAATTACATGTCTGAAGCAACAACAAAAAAGAGAAAAAAAAAGAGAAAACAAAATATTAACTCCCCACAAAACAATAGTGGCTCAGGCAAGCGACCACCGCCCTGCAGTGGCTCACCAAAACAACGCACTGAGAAAAACAACAAATAGATAAATTCAGCTATCTTATATTATTATCAACAAGAATGGCCAGTACAACAATAATAATCATTAAAAAAGTTTTTAAAAAACCCACGTTTTCTGATTGAACTAAAAAGTAGAAAATAAATACTATACATCACAATAATGCAAGCGATCACTCTACTATAAGCTATCAAAAACGTGGGGCGCCGAAGTAAAAGTTATATTACTATTGATTAGATAATACTATTGACTTTTATTAGGGAGCTTATAGAGAGTCAACAGTATTAGAAACTGTAAGAAAATCACGGCGCCCCACGTTTTTCATCGCTTATAGTAGAGTGATCGCTTGCATTATTGTGATGTATAGTATTTATTTTCTACTTTTTAGTTCAATCAGAAAACGTGGGTTTTTTAAAAACTTTTTTAATGATTATTATTTTCTACTTTTTAGTCTTTGTCTGTTTGTTTGCATTAAAATCTTGCTATCGATTTTATCTTTTCACTTTTTTTTTGGGTAAACGAAGACAACTCGTAAAAAAGAACCCTCGTAAAAAACACGTTGTGTGAATACGTTACTGACTAGAAAACATAGATTTGAACCCGTGTCGAGTGGGATAGCAATCGTGTGCCCAACCACTCGACCATATAGTCTCCCCCATACTGGCCACCAGTTGTTAGGTTATGGTTGTTTGTACACAAACACCGCGTGACAACTACTCAATAAGCAAAAAGAGGGGGAGTGCCGAACCTTGTTTTCATCAAATTACAGTTACTGGGTAATGTCCCTTTTTCCCCACGTTTTTTGGTACAATTATATAGCGGTCTAAAATGATCAATAAAATGTTTCCATGGATTAATTTAGTAATAAAAACAATAGAATATTCAATTGTCATCCAAAACAAAGCTTCCCTGAAAATTTCAGCGCGCTAGCTAACTGGGAAGTGCCAGAAATTTCGATCGCAAGATTGGATTGGAAAGACAAACACACAGAGAAAGCAAGTTAAAGAAAACGTGGGAAAAAGGCTAACATACGACAACTCACAATAATTACCATATCGGGGAGGGGGGAAAGCAGACCTAATAATCTCACTTTCAACAGACTACATTCTTCTACAAGAAACCAACTTGTTAAATTCACCTATTACTTTTTTGGTTTCTACCATTGGTTTACATATTAGTGTATATTTTTATTCAGCAAAGGGTGCATTCTAAAGAAAGCAAGGTGTGAGAGACTTTCATGTTTAGAGGAAATAATGGGCTCGAACACAAGCACATGTTGTGATGTGTGCATGTATGTATTGGGGGGAGTACACATATTGGGAATGATGTATGGTAAATCACGCTGTTGTTACAAAGTTAATTTAAAAGTTTAACTTCACAAAACTTCTTACAGTAACAATCTTCTAGGCCACACTCACATAAAACAAAAAAACTTAATTATCAGTGAGATCACAGTAACAAAACTATTGTGATTAAAAATTTTTTTTATTGAAAATCAAAACCACAACCTTATGATAAGTGTAATAAAATAATATTTGTAAACCCATTTCCCAAAAGTTAGCAAATGTATTAATAGACAAACATTTTATAAAATTAAAACTAAGAACAAAAAACTGACCATAAAAATGTGGAAGTAAGGCCTACATATCTTGTTAACTTTTTTTTACTAATAGTAATTTAGATTTAAACTTTGGATTTTTTTAAAAACTATTTTAACAATAACCAAAAGAAAAATAATGAAGCTATTTAAAATTGTCTTGTTAAATGTATTTAAATGTTAATTAAAGTTTAATCTGAATCACAACCATGGGCACACTATTTCACTTTTTTAAATACAAGGGAAACAACTGCATTAATAAATTAGTTTAAATAAAATAAATTTTGTAAAACTAAAAGTATTATTGTTTTAAAAGTAATCATTCAAAAAACATTAAAGTATAGATACATTTGTAAACATATATATTTGTAACCATATAATAGTATAAAAACATTTGAAGGAATTTCTTTTTCATGTAAAACATTTTTATAAAATGTATTAAAACATGTCTATAAGATGTATTAAAACATGTTTGAAGGATGAATTAAAACAAGTTGAAAAGGTGTATTAGGAACTGGACAAGTAATCTTTGGTTCATATGACTGACTAGATCTAATGGTTTTGTAAAAAAAAAAATCTTGTCTTAGTTGCTTATTATTCAAATTTTTTCTTATAGGATTAGAGTACATAAATTATAGATCTAATATCAAAATGTTTAAGAAAGGACTAAGTATTTGTTGCAGTTATTGAAGATATGTGAAAAAGTGTTACTATGTTTGAGAAATAATCATCCCAGCAACATGAAAAAAGCTTAAACTATTCAAAACAATAAATGACTGAATCTAATTTTTGTATACATGATACATTTTTAAAAGACAATATAGAATAAAATGTACAATGTGTTTTCACATTAGTAGCAAAAAATGAAAAATGCACTCTTCTTAAATTAAAATATTTAGCTTAAGTTAAGCCTGAAAAGTGTAAAGAAACATAAAATATGTCATTTAAAATATCTGCTAAGGAAGATGAAAGTATCTAGTTAGTCATGGCTACAGGTCAGAGACCACTATTCTAAGTTATATCTCACTCTTTTTATATTTAACATCCATTCAGAAGAAAAACATTTCTGAACACTAACATCATATACAAGTATAAGTATAAGTAGCATAGCTAGTTGTGTTTTTTTTATAATCTCAGTATATAAACATGAGTTGGCTGTGTGACGAAAACAATAAAAAAATGTAACATACACAAAGCTAGTTGTTTCAAAAAATTTCTTTTAAGGTAACAAATTTTAGTCATTTTGATTCACCAGTAACATTGTGACATCCAGATGATAAATCGTTAAAAAAAATTATAATTTTAACAAAACATACATAATGCTAATATACATGTAATGTAAAAATTCAGTATGTAGAAAACTAGTTTAAAGGGCAAGTGTGGCATATTTCAAAACATGTGAACACATACAATTAAGAGATCTGATGTATAAAATGCATATAAAATTTTCGCAAAAAGATTGTGTGATTTTTACATCAAACTATCAGAATAAACCGATTAGAAACCAGAATTAATTAATATTTAATTAAAACATAAAGATGTTTGTTTTCTGTTTAAAACTATATGTTGATTAGGTATATATAATACACAGACAATGTGATACCTTATAAAATACATTAAGGAACTTGTTTGAACTACGAACTTCTAATGATTTATTCTTAAAATGATTCAAGGAACATCTTTTTGTTCCCAAAACATTTTTTTTAAAAATCAACAATATAATTAAAATGAGACAATTAATAGAAGTGATTCTTAAATTAAGTCCAAGATCCAATAATAAAGTAATAAATGTATTTTATATGGTGTATATTAGGATAATTAACAATAAGTATAATATCTTTAATTAAAATCTTTATCACATTTAACAATAAATTTGTAGGGATTTAACTGACAAAAAATAGACTATTTTTAGCAAAGTGCAAGGTGGAATTCTTTAAATGTTATGCAGAATTTTGAAGTGTTAGTACTATAATAAACAAAAACATGCACAAAACAGATCAACTCTCAACCCTCTCACCAAAAAAAAGTAGTTCCATGACCAATTAAAAAACACAATTAAACATCTTGTATAAACAAACATGAACAAATTTAAAAAAAAAAAACAGCAATTGTTCATCATTTTGGAAAAAAATACAGTGGCACCTGTAAATAGGAATGTTGTTTTTTCTAATAAAACTTTGATTTTGCTTTGCAGCAATGAAACATAACATCAAATGCAATAAAAATTAAAAAAAGGAGTACACAAAAATATGAGAGTCAGTGAAGTGTTAACAACCAACCATTAAAACAATTTTCTTAACAAATTTGATCCCTAGAACATTGGACATCAGTGTTCTGTCACACCATTCACTTTCTTAAAACCATTTGGGTTTTTGGTTTGCCAGTTCCAAAGGTCACGACCTGCATGATGTAAATATATGTATTAAATAAGGCTTTTCCAATTACGAGCCTTTTAAAATACTATGGTATTTACCGGTGTATTAGACGACTGGGTGCATAAAATAACCCCCAAACTTTCCAAGCTAAACTATAGTTTGATATTTAATCTACCTGCCTCGCAACACAAACCCCGATTTTTGAGATAATTTTCCTTTTTTAAAAAATATCATCTTATATTCCCGAAAATATGGTCAATCCAATTTATTTATTTTTCAAACAACTTTAAAAAAGAAAATAGCAAAGAATTTAGAACTTATTAGGGTACAATAAAAGTTTTTTAGAATAAAGTGTGCACATAAAGTTTAAAGTAATAAAATGATCTGAGATTGAGAAAATAAAATGTAAGCTTTCAACTTTTTATTTTTGGTTTATCAATCCTTCTTTAAAATTATTATTGAATAGTTGCAGGCTCTGAAATATTTAACACACAAAACTTTCTGTCCTTGACACTTAAGACTGACAGAGAAGGTACTCACACATATCATCAAGACTGTACTTTGCTGTCCAGCCCAGCTCAACCTCAGCCTTGTGGGGGTCAGCACACATGGTAGCCACGTCCCCATCTCTCCTGGCCACGATCTTGTAGTTGATCTGTTCAAACAAAGTTCTTTCACATTATACATGTTTTAATATTCAAAATGGGAGGCAATAAACTTAGAGCAAACAAATTTGCTACATTTAATAGACAATGTCATAATTTTTAAGTTAGATTTTTTTTTGTTCACTAGCATAAAAAATTTATGTACATTTTAATGGAGAATAAGTAATTAGAAAACACTAAAATTTATTTTTAAGTCAAGCTTATATTTTTTAATATATTTTTTTGTGTTTAAAGCAAACTAAAAAAAAAAATGTGATAAATAAAACAGTATGTCACAAATAATACACATTTTTTAAAACTGTTTTCTATCTGGTTCATGATTTAACATTCTACCATATTATAGAAAGTACAAATTATACATTTTGTTTACTGACTCAAAACAAAATAAAAAATATTTTGGCTACGATTTACTAGTTTAACTCTTTAATGTGGATTTTAATACTTGGTCACTTGTGATCCTCCATGATGGAATGAGTTACTTTGAATTGCGAGCTATTTTGGACTAGAGACAAAGATATGAGGAATCGTTTGGGATATTAAATTTAGGATTTTAGTTATTGCTAATTATTTATTTTATTTTGTAAATATGTTCTCACATTTGTGGAGCATTAAAAGACACTGAACTGAAAAGTTATCAATTTGTATAATACTTGGGATAAAGAAGCCAGAAATTTTTCAGAATCGTATTTTAAATGGAGTTAATAGTAAAGTTATTCACAGGTTATGATCTGATTCCTAAACAGTTTTCACCAATACAATTAGCATTAATGTTTTCAGACAGACTGAAAGACTCAAAATCAGTCAAGTGTGCTAAGCAACTCAAACTGTCGTGGAAGGTCCTGTTTTGAAAGTAATGTTTCTTTAAACTCCCAATCATTAGTAGGATCAAAGCATTCAGAGATTTAACACAAAAGAAAAAAAACCTTTTTAGTAATTTTAGTTACTTTTTCAAATGAATAAATTTTATCCAATAACAGAATAAAAGACAACTTGTACTTACTTTCCTACCAGAAACTTTCTCAAATGATTTAATGACATCTAAAACAGAAGAGCCCTTGCCTGTCCCCAGGTTGTATGCCTAGAGGTAAGATAAATATTAACAATTTTTAACTTAGAATTGTTTAGATAGAATATCTACTGTACAATGTCCACTCAACGCTACCAAAGAAGAAAAGAATCTACCTAAATAGAGTTGAATTTATATAGGACATTTAAAACTAATGGTTAAACTATAAATATTCTGTTGATAAATGATATGACAACACTTTTACAAAACTTTAGTTGAATGAAATTCAATCATTGAAATGATAACCAAAACTAGGTACAAAGAAGAATATAATAGTGCTAAACTTTGGAGAACATACATTAAATCCTCTGGTTTGTTTCACTTTATTCATGGCCGCAATGTGTCCTCTAGCTAGATCTGTTATGTGTAGGTAATCTCTGACACCTAAAACAGAAAGAAAATCAGGCTTACTGTTTTCCAACCACTTTCATTGTTACTTAACATTATTTTCTGAGTTATTCATAAAATTACAATACTAGGGAGGGTCTCAGATGTCTGTGATATAGTAGTTATATACTAATTTTTAAAAAGTAGTATATAATAAAGTACTCACCATTTAATGAAACTATGCTAATTGTTTGTTTGTTGTTTTAGATAAAAATCTCACCTGTGCCATCAGGTGTATCATAATCATCGCCATAGACCAACAGCTCATTGCGTTTGCCAATGGCAACCTGTGAGACGTAGGGCGTCAGGTTATTGGGTACACCTTGTGGATCTTCACCAATAACACCAGAGCTATGAGCACCAACAGGGTTGAAGTAGCGAAGCACTACAGCACTCCATTCCTAAAAAACAAGTTTCAAATTGGAAATAATAAACTATATTTTACTATATAAATGCTAGACTGATCCAACTGGGAAAATAGAGAGATTTCTTTAAAAGCCTTCCATTTGTAGCAAGTTAAAATTTTAGTAAGAAAAATGAAAATAAATTTTTCTTTTAATGCTATAAAAAATTTCAAATGTCATTTTAAATGTCAGTGATAAAGCAAACTTGACTTCACATGTTCGTACAAATGTTTTTTTAAAACTATGTACTTTTTAAATTAATAATTTTAAACTTTAAAATAATTACTAGCTTAATCCTGCAAATGTCAAACAAAATTTCCTCCACAAAGTGTTTGGTTTTGGCATAGGGACTAGTACAGTTCCCCACAGGGTGCTTCTCATCCATGGGCAGGTACTTGGGGTCACCATACACAGTGGCTGAACTTGAGAAAATGATACGAGTGACTCCACTTTCATCCATTGCCTGAAAGGAATAACAGCTTGCAGCTAAAAAAAATAAGTCTACTCCACAGGTACTGACTTAACCTTTATCAGTTACAAGAACAAAATTATAAATAGCTAACTCATTCTTCTCCCTCATAAGTTTATTTGCAGTAAAAGAAAAGAAAAAACATTCACATTTTTTATTACTGTCTCAGAATTTAAAAAATAAAAAGCTTTTAAAAAATATAAATAAACTGAAAACTCAAAAGTTTTCGTGAAAATTAAAAGAGGATATTACCTCAACTAAGTTGATTGTTCCGAGGACATTCACCCTATAGTAAAGCAATGGCAGTTTCACTGATTCTCCCACGGCTTTCAAAGCAGCAAAATGTATGACTACAGATATCTCTGGGTGCTGTCATGAAAATGTTTTAGATTACTACAAACACTTTAAAATTGCTTTAACAAACAATTTTAGATAAAAGAGGCCAAAAAGAAAGACTACTGGTATTGAATTTTAATGGGCGTAAACAATAGTTTAAATAAAACACTAAAATGACTTCCTTACTTTATGAAATACGCTAAGTATTTCATTTTTGCGCAGCAAATCAACGTTGTAACAAGGTACTTTTTTTTTGGTCAGAGATTCTATTCGATGTATACTCTCTGTAAACAAATAATGAATGTAGTTTAGATTACACAAGATCAACAATACTAAAATGATATCTTGAAAAATACTGTTTCAAAGAAATAAAATGTGCATAGTATTTAAATACAGAAAAAAAAAATTTCAGATTTTTTATAATGTAATGAGAATTACAAAAATAAACTTATAAATAAGCATTTTCATATTGATTAAAACGCTAACAGCTGTATACATTGCTTTGCTTACCTTCATTCCCATTAGCAAAATTATCTATAACGACAACATCATAATTATCCTCCAACAGTGTAATCACAGTATGGCTGCCTACATAGCCAGCCCCTCCAGTCACCAAGATGGTTTCCTTCTTTCCAGCACCAGAGGCCATTTTCTTATCTGTTGGGCAAAATACAATACATAATAGCAACTATAAAAAATATTACTTAAAATATTTATATAGCCCATATAATTCAGTTTAAGATTTTAATCACTGGATTACCAGTCAGTGCCAGATTTTAATCACCGGATTACAAATGAGTCCCAGGTTTAATCACTATATTAAAAAAAACATTTAGACAAGAACAGAATGGCCTAAAGGAAGACTATATTATCCTGCATGGATTAGCATGAGTTCCTAAAACCTTATAAATACATTTTTCAAAAAAATAATAATTTCTTTTTAAGCAAATTAAAATACACATCAACACTGGCATATATCATGTCACTACAGCTGGTGACTTGTGAGAAACCTCTGAAGAAAGTTGACACTACTGCTTTTGCTTCATCACCTTAGCTAAGCTATGGGCCAAATAAACTATTACAAAATAACTAAAAGCCAAAAACTGATATCATGAACCCTTTACACATTGATTGCTTTATCTTGAAGTAGTTACATAAAACAACACAATCTTTGGTACAGGTTCACATATGTTAAGTATGTGGTAAAAAACATCAAGGAAGAAAGTCAGAATAGAGGATATATTTTTAGATAGATGTATGTTCTTTCTAACTTTGCTCCACTCTTTAGACATAACATAGCTGTAACAGTTTTATACAGGAACCCTGTATGAAATTTAAAAATTAAATTTACAGACAAATGAAAAACAAATAATATGCTAAATTAAATAAATATTAAAACATTGTGAACATACAGTGAAATCTAAAAATCACAACAGCAGGATTTGTTGAAAACTATTATATTTTAGAGATACAAAATTGTGTACACATGCTCGTGACGCTCTGAAATCATCAATACACAATTACCTGCAAGTTATGTATATAAAAATCAATAAAGCTTTGACATTTATAGCCTCAAACTCAAAAATGAATAATATAATTTTTCTTCTCTAACAAATGTCATTATTTCATTAATGCACTTTTTACAAAAAATATATTCATATTCAGATTTGTTTGGTAAATTTAAAAAAAAACAAATGGTTGGCTTGTTTTAAAAAAATAATTAAACTTATAGTTCTCAATGAATGGTACAGATTTCTTTTTAGATATAATTAAGAGTGAGAGCCATAGAAAATTAATTTAAGAAGAAAATTTAAAGACTACATTTGATTTTTGCTTGTCTATGCATGTTTCAATTATAAAATAATCAATATAAGTAGTAGCATAGCCTAAATTCATATTGACCCATTTCGTGAGCTTGATAATGATGCAAACTAGGGTTAAGTGTAGTGGTGGGAATTCATGTTCACTGTTATGACACATGGGGTCAAGGGATTGATTTATTGGGGATATGAGGGGTAGAAGAGTGGGTTAAATATAATATATTGTTGTGTAATATTATAAGCTACAACCCTCCAAGTCCTTAATCCTGATACCAGTTTGTTCAAATAATTTAAGATATTTTATAATCATCTTTTCCCATTCAAGTCCAAAACACCCAGGGGAAGGTGAAGTAGAGCTCATCTATCTCAATGACCCAGGCAGAGTGTGGTCTGTGGAGGTTATTTTAATATACATTGTTTGTATAGTTGGTCATTACCCTTCAGTGCGGTGTGTGACAGTTTCTGCAGTGTGAAATTACAACAAATGACACAGTTCCAAGTTCAATTATAGCTAAGTTTTTTATTATTAAAATTAATTAGACCCTATCTCTAAAGATAGGGAGGATCATTTTTGCTACTGTTATGGCCCAACACACAACACTATGCAGTGCATTTACATTTTTTAAAATCTATATTTAACTGAATGCAACAAGCCAGCTGGTTGGTTGAGGCCAAGGTTTGTTCTGTTAGGGATACAAAGGGTCTACTCAATATATCTACCCCTCCATCTAATTTATTATAATATATGATAGAAATATATCACAATATACTTGTATTAAAGTAGCCATATTAATGTGTCACTAAATGTGCAAGAAGAAAAGTTATAAAGTACACAAGTAGATCTAAATATATCACAAGCATTGTATGTTGTTCTTTTTTTTTAAATTTTCGTGGTTTAGGGCCTAGTTTAGATTTTTATAAATATTTTTAAATCTAAACATTTTTGCTCCTATTAATGCTTGCTCATGTTTTCTTGTCAGCAGGAGAAAAATCTCATGTCAGTCGACAAGTCACTGTGAGTTCATAAAGAGAATATTATAGTAGACAATATTTTTAAAAATCTAGATCTATATTTATTATCTACATCTATGTTTTAAATTCTAAGCATTGCTGCCCACTTCTTGCCCCCTCACTTTTCCTGTGAGCATGAGAAAAATAGGTCATAGCTTGAGCAATAACAATATGACAAAATGTGCTTGGGGTCATTGTGAATTGTCTGCTGGAAAAATTCAGCACCAATTTAAACTGTAAACATTTTTAAAAATCAACAAAATTTGATATTTATATGATTAAAAAATAAATCATAGGCGGCAGTAATAATACAAAATTTCTTTGCAACAATCCAATATAAAAGCATGTCTAGCAACGGAATATCAAAATTATAGGCCTAACAATACAAACTACAAACTAAACATGGATGATATTAGAAGTCTGCAGTTCCATTGTACGTCGGAGGGGGGGGAGGGGGCAATATAATTTTCGCAGATATCTTCGCATTTTACCCCCATAGAATAGAATATAGATGCAAGAAGGGAGGGTGAGGATAACGGATAATCATTAATCATCCTTCACGAGCTACTGATAGTGTTTTAAATAATAAAATATTTTTAATCAAAGCAATATTTTCATCAGTCGCAGCATACTCATTGGTAGTGTTGAATTCACAAATTATGAATTACTGAAAAGTAGAAAATAAAACAACTAGGCCTAAATACCTAATAATAATAACTTAAATAACTAGGCCTAAATAGTAAATAAACTAAATAGCTTCTTTCTACTAGAGATCTAGATCTAGATTTAGTAGTAAATGAGTAAATAGATTCTAGCGGCGTTTGCGTACGGCGCGGGTCAGTTCCAGAGTTCCTAAACAAATATTAGGCCTAATTTAATAATAATAATAGGCCCTAATATAAATATTTAATAGGGCCTAATATATAAAATAAAAATATATAGTATACAGTTTATATGCCTAGGGAGTATTTCAAATAAAGCAGAAACCACACAGTGACACACGCACAACACACCGCTAACTAATGATCACAAGCAAATCATATTGAATAGATATTGATTGGTACCTGCAGAATGAATAAGGCTTGTATCCCGTTAAATTTAAATCTAAATCTATAATAAGTAAGAAGATTTAATCTCAATCACACGATGGACCCGACTAAAATCTTAACTATTCTTAACTACTAAGATTAAGAAATCTTACTTGTTTTGTTTTTTTAATTCGTATCCGGTTGGGTTTTTTACTATTTATTTTTAGGCCGTACTTGTAGATCAAGTAGATTCGACTTCTTTCGAATAAATCGAAATTTATTTAAGCCCATTTTGTTTACTATCTACATTTTAAATATTTCGTAGGTCTATTTTATTTGAAAACAAGTTTAAACAATAACTTGATAAATGATTTCAAGCTTTTAAAATCCCCCCTCAATTTTTATTTCAATTTACATTTTCAAAGACATTTATTAATGCAATAATTTAATAACTACCTGAATCTTATCAGATTTTTATTTTAAAAATATGGCTCCATAGTCAACTCTAATAGATCTAGAACATTGAATGATTGCCCATTGGAAATCCAAGCTCAACATCTATACGACTTTTAAACGCAAAAAAAGCCTACATAGCGAAATTTTCGTAACTCCGCCTTATCATCGTCACCAGAGTTTCTTCCAGGCATCTCTCGGTCTAAAAGAAACACTATGATCGTCACAAAACACCAAATCTCCTTTCCCCCCCCCCCCATCAGAGTTTCTTCCAGGCATCTCTTCGAGGGGGCAAAGCCCCCCCCCCCCCCCCCCCCCGAAATTTTTTTACCACCCCCCCCCCCCCCGAACGAAATGAAATTTATATAATTTATATAGAAAATATATACTTTTAACAGTGTCCGCCCCCCCCCCCCCCCCCCGAAGAAAGTTTACCGCCCCCCCCCCCCCGAAGATATCAAGTGCCCCCCCCCCCCCCGGAGAAAAAAGTCTGGAAGAAACACTGCCCCCCACCCCTAGCCCTAGGCGTTTGGCGGCATTAATGGTGGGGGGGGGTGCAGCGTTTGTTTGGTTAGGCCTAATTGGCGATTTTTTAGCGTAGGCATTCAAAAAGATGTAATAATTATACATCGGGGTTAATACCCCTCCCCCTCCTTTGTCCTTCACCGCTCGCTTACCGCAAAACGCACACTTTAAAAAAGTTTCACTAGCTACTGATTAAAAAAAAACAACAAGCATAATTGTTCAAAATGTATAGGCTATACATTTGGTATTCAGCATAAATTTTTTTTTTGTAATTTATTAAAAGCATTTTGTCAAAAAAAATTTATGATAAATTTCACATGAACCGACCCTTCCCTGTATAAGATGAACCTTTACAAAATAACTGTGGGGGAAAAACAACCTTTAAGCCTCCTAGGTCTCGTTGCAGACCTATTCAAAACTGTGATAGATATAGATAGCAATCTGATCTATGCGGATCTACGTTTTATTTTATAAAGCCTGCCCGTTGATCCCTTAAGTCAAAGGTCAATTGTCGCTGTCATCCTGTTTAGTGTTCATGTTAGACTTCACCTGGGATAAACGGACCACTACACCTTGTTTGTAGCTTGATCAGGAACTAAAATACTTAACTAAACCACTTCACCTATGATCGTGAATGTTGCTTATATTGTTCTATGTGTGTAAGCGCAACAGTGCAGTAAGATATGGTGAGATTTATGGAATGGAAGTGGGACATAACAAACATAGAAACGTGGGTTTTCCAGTGTTAGATTGGGGGATTTTGGGAAGGTTGCGGAGGTGTTGCGTTAAAAATAAAATCTGTAAATTTTTTTATTACATAACATAGCACATTAAAAAGGAAGAAGTGTTAGTGTGTAAACTTTGTAATAAAAGCAGAAGGGTGGGATGTGTGTGGATGTGTGTGTGTGTGTGCATGAGAGAGAGAGAGAGAGGTGAAGTGGTTAAGATAAGTAACGTTGCTTACATTTTAATCTTTGAAAACATTAGTGCCTTAAACATTTCAAAATGATAGGCTAATTAAGTAAAAATCCACTTACAAAGACTGTCAAGATTTTTCGTATAACAGAAAAACGTTGTTTTGTGTGTGTGTGTATATAAGCAGTCCTTCTTCTTCACCGTTCTTAACTTCAGTGTTGAAAAGGATTCTCTCCAACACATTTAAGACCGTTGACTCCGATTCCAGCCTGCTTTTCTTTTTGGATTTCTTCCATAGCTTTTGTCCAACAAAGAACAAACTACAAGGCAGTTTGATTGTGGAGTGGCTGTCCCCATCTATCGAGCCTCGTCTGCCCGGGGGTTCGAACTCAGAACTTATCGGTTCAGCAGCCATATTTTTAGAGAAAAAAAAACTTTCCTTCTAATTCTGTCTGCACAAATTATTATACTGAAAATGAAATCACACTTGTTTTTTTTTTCTCAATTAGCCATTATGCTAGATAAGAACAACTTTAAACCCTACATCCAGTGTGTGTTTCTTCAGACGTTTTGTCTAAGGGAGGGGGTGGGGCAATGAAGTAGGTGGCTGAAAGAAGCACTGTTAAAATCTGTAGGGTATATATGACAATATGACGACTGATATAACGTAAGAAACATTTTACCTTCACTAAAGTCTTATACTCGATACAGCGTGTGGACTGTGGTATAGCATCTCGATATCACAAGTAGACCTACTCGATGAGAGGGTATTTTTAAGGGAGTGAGGAGGAAATTTATGACATCTGTAAAGTAGTCAGATTTTTTTAATCCCATGTTAAATTGGCGAGAATAGGTAGCAGCCATTGGCTGAAATCGCGTTGACGTAATTTAATGAACTAGCCCAAAGCCAAATTACATTGTTTTGTTTAAATGCGAAGTGGAAGGGACGAACTAGTTAAAGTACGGTACGGCTGTAAGTGCAGTGTTTCTTCCAGGCATCTCTTCGGGGTGCTCCGCCCATCCCCTCCCTCCCACCCCCCCCCCCCCGACCCCCCCCCCCCCCGAAGAGAGTCTACCGCCCCCCCCCCCGAACGAAATGGAATTTATATAGAAAATATATACTTTTAACAGTGTCCACCCCCCCTCCGAAAATTTCAAGTCCCCCCCCCTCCCCCATCGGAGAAAAAAGTCAGAAAGAAACACTGCGTAAGTGGGTGAGAAAAGAACAATAAATACTTTAAAATACTGCCGTTATTTTGGTTAGGCTATATTTTTCCATGACAAAAGAAATGAATTAATTCATGCGTTACAGTTAGTGGGCCTATCTTTAAGTTTATGGGGTCATCCATAAATGACGTCACGCTTTTTTGACGATTTTTACCTCCCCCCTACCCTCCATCACACGTCGTCACGAAAAGCCAGACCCCCCCCCCTAAAATGACGTCACACCTCAGCCTACAACCCCCCCCCCCCCCTCAAAATTGCAGTTGAATTTTTTTAAACAGCTATTTTTCCAAAATCTTGTCTGAACTCTGTCAAAATAGAGTATTTTAATCAATTGTTATTACAATTTATTAAAACAGTTTTCTAAAACGCAAAATAACGTCTAAAATTCGTTTTCTAACATTGCTTTTTTATAGTGCAAACGTGTGACGTCGCACCATCTCTCCCCCCCCTTCCCTCCCCCTCATCACACACCGTCACAAAATTACGGACCCCCCCTCTTATGAGTGTGACGTCATTTATGGGCGACCCCTATGTATTAGGATTGCAACATAACATTTTATAACCGATCTGCTTTTATCGCACGCACTGCCATCTTTGTTTGTAAACAATGTAGCTTGCTGGGTTGAAAAATGCTAGATGCAATGCAGTAGACAGTGGCGCAAATTTTTTTATTTACTCTATATAATATATCTTGCAATTTTTTTGTCTTGGTGTCACCACCCTAAATGGTGTCACCTGGTGCGGTCCGCACACCCCGCCAACGCATCGCGACGCCTCTGGCAGTAGGCTTTACTATTTTACTTTGTATGATGGTAGGTTAGATTATTGGAGGGGCAAGCAGGCTTCTATTAAACGTATTAGGAATAGGATATGATATTTCACTGTCGCCCGAACTAAAATAAGTGCTGTTTTAGTTTTGAGAATTATAACTGGGACCTTAAACCTTATTTCTCGTTACTTTCTCGTAATCTCACAGCCTCCTGGGGGTTCGGGCCCTAACTCGTACGACCCTCCGCATCGACAATCTCACAATTTGGAAAAAAAAATCGATGCAAAACGGACCACTCAATCAAGTTGTGAAGGTACCGTTTTCTTTTAGACATTTTTCTCCAGGGTGAAACTATGGGGGGGGGGGGGGGGGGAGCGGATACTTGTTGAAGTATATATTTTGTTCAGGGGGGGGGGGTATGACCCACATCCGCCCGTAATGTTGTGACGATGTGTGATTATGTAAAGAAAAAAAAGGGCGCGGGGGGGGGGGTCAGAAAGTGTAACATCACACTTCTACGTTTGCGTTTTAAAAAGTGAATGTTAGAAACTGATTCGTGGCCGCTATTTCGCGTTTTTGAAAAGTGTTTTTGTAGATTTAATGGAAATTGATTCATATTCTGTTAAATATTTAAGAAGAAAAAAAAATGTAACTGCAATTTTGAAGAGGTGGTGTGTGTGTGTGTGGGGGGGGGGGGGGGGGGGGGGGGGGGGAGAGGGTACTAAAAATCCAAAAACTTTGAACTAGAATTGCTGTTTCAATCATGTTTTCCAACAACTCAATGAAAATACTTGAATACTGTCTGAAATTCAGTGACTAATTCGTTAAAAAATCAATCAGAGCAGAACCCATCCATCCATCCTCATCCATTACAAACTTAATATCGGGCTTTAAAATCTTTAGTTGAAGTCCTAAGAGTCTTAAATAACCTCAGAAAATTTTAGACCCTTTCCCCTCACCTTGGGGAGAATAAATAAAACCCCGCCGAAACGGGCCTCTCTCTAAAACTACAACACCACTTGTAATCCCTCACCCCCTTTTCGTTACAATAAAAATAATAAATATTTCATAATTTAAAAACAAAATAATTGAAATACAAGATATACGCAGCGTTATATTTAACACCCCCCCCCCCCCCATTGTCAATAAAGCCAGAATGCATAACGACATTATTTTTGTTTGTTTGGACGATCGCTTTGCACTATTTGTGTAAGATTATGAGCATTACGCTACACAACACACCCAACTCCCTACG